ACCCTCCCCCACACCGATACACACATAGACTGACCCCCCCACATACAGACTGATCCCCCTCCACACAAACACAGACTGACCCATACACACAGACTGACCCATACACATATACAGACTGAGGCCCCCCACACACAGACTGCCCCCCCCCACACACTGACTCACACTTACCAGCAGCTGCCTGAATGTCCTCCCAGCACAGTGCCCCCTCTGGTGTGGGAAAAGGGTGGAACACAGTTCCACAGTGATGGTGCTGCTGCAGCTTGTGAAGGTAGACTCAATGCTCCTGACTTAAATTTAATTTGAGAGGGCACAAGAGGGGCACTGCATGATGTAGGGAGGCCATGGGCCCCTATGACCCCACAGTGATGCCCCTGAAAGCAAGTGAAGATGAGAGTACAGATGAGATACAAGGGACTAGGTTTAAGGGAGCAGGTGGTGGGGCGGGAGGACTGGAGCAAAGCAGAAACCTCTTCTGCTACAGCGGGTGCAAATAAGCATAGAAAAGGGCATGGAGTCTGGTTGGGGGAAGAATTGGTAGGGGCAGAAGAGAGATCACTTTCCCTATTGTAGAAATCTTCTCAGGAAGTGGGTTGCAAAGTTTGGGCATCAAGGTAATAGGTGGAGGGGAGCAACAGGAAGAACAAGAGAGTAAATTGTGTGAAATCGACATGTGGGTTTGTGGGAGAGCACTGAAGTAAAATTAGTACATTTACTTTTGCAGAGAAAAGAGGCAAACTGTAGGAGCACAGCACAAATTTAGAGTGGAGGAAGTCACATGCAGAGTGAGCCTTTCTCCAGCAGCATTCAGAAGTCCTGGGACATTTTTGGAGGTATTGGGTCAGCTTGGTGTGCCAGGGTTGTAATGGTAGAGGGAGGTTGCGGCGTTAGGACAGGTGAAGTTTAAGATGGGTGAAAAGATTTTTTTGTATCATTTACCATCAGTTACCATAAGTTACCTGACAACATTTCAGCAAGTGATGGGTTTTTATTATTTGTCAAAACTTTTCAAGGCTACCCTGACAGGGCTATTCACTCAACTGAATATTCCAAATAAATTCAAAGTGAATTTCAGATTGAATTCAAAATAGCTGGACAGGAAAAAAAAATCTGTAAATCGGTTGTAATTTCAGTTTGACTACTCTGGCTTTAAATTTGAAATTCACTGTGAATTCTCTTTGAATTCTAACTTTTATAAATACAATTGTTAGTGACCAAATGAGGAAACCAACTCTGCCAAAAGGAGTGCCAAAGGCTTTCTTTTTCTATTTGCTTTTGAGTTTAATTTCAGTAAGTTTACAAGTTACAAATACCTTTTCTTTCCAAAGTTTATAATGATATTATGGGTGTTTTGGTTTGTATGTACGTTTTTTTTAAATAAATTCTTTATTTTTCTAGTTTAGGTGAGGTATAGGGTACAGAATGAAGGTAGAAATAGGGTAGTAGTTATATCTAATACTTTGCAGTTTCATTACGTTTCATTAGTATCATTGTGGTTTATTGCGAGACCTCATGTCAGTACTCTGGGTTGAGTGGTTCGGTTTTTGTACGTCTCGGGTAGAGGAAGTCACTTGGTCATGGGTCTTGTTGTCCTTGCCTGTGGGTGCGTGTTTGGTTCCTCTAGTTTTATGTTCGTCAGGTTTGTATCTCCTTCGGTTTTATGTGGATCTGGGGTTTTGGTTTGGTGTGTTTGTTTTGTGTGTTGGTGTGGTCAGTGGGGGAGTTTTGGTGGTCTCGACCTGTAGGTGGTCACCTTGTTTAAACTGTTGTTGTGGGTCATTTCTGGTGTGGTGGAGTTCGATTCTTCTTCGTTTACCTGAGGTTGTTTTCTTATGTATATCTCTGGTGCTGGTGATCGCGTTTTACACAGTATGGTGTTTTATCTTTTTGTTGGATGGATTCTCTAGTCTTATGATTGTGCCTTCACTTGTGAGGTTGGTGTCGGGTAGGGGGTCTGTCACGTCTCGTTCCTGGGTCCTCCGTTTATAGTGCCAGTAGGTGGTGTAGGACCCATGGGTCCCATACCTTATGGAAGTTTCGTGTTGTATCATGTAGTAGGGCTGACAATTTGTCCATTTCCGTGGTTTCTTGTGTTTTGTTGATCATCGTGGTTAGTTGGGGTGTGTCCTGGTTGCCCCATTGTTCTGCTATCATCCGTCTGGTGGCCAGCGCTAATCTAGCCACCAGTTTATTTTGTGCTCTGGTGAGAGGGGGATGGGGTCTGGAAAGCAGCCATATGTATGTATGTTTTTATAACTAAAAATGATACTTTTGTGTCAGTATGTTTACTTTCAGAATATTCTAATGGATCTATATATGTTAAAACTATTTTTTACATTCTATCTTTACCGCTGAGTAGTTTCACCATGTTTGGAAAATGTTGCACATATATTTGCTTACCTGTTCTGAACACACCTGTCTTATATTTACTCCTCCCCTTTCTTTAGCTGCCAGTATATATCTTCTAGTTAAATGTGCATTAATCCCACTGGCTACATATTAAATTATTTTTAAAAAACAAAAATGTTTAATTCTGTTTATTTATTTAAATCATGACTGAGTAACAGTGGCGGAATTACCGCCAGTGCAGCTGGTGTAGTGGGGGCCCATCGATTGACCCATGCTCTTAGGGCCACGCGATGGGCATGTTTAAGAAGATGGGTAGAGTTGAGCGAACATTACGTTTTTTGGACCCCGCACCCGAACACGGACATATCACTGTATGTTCGGGTTGAAGTTCGGAGTTTGGCAATTTAATGACGCGTTTTGAAAGGCTGCAGGGCAGCCAATCAACAAGCGTTTGACTCATGTGTCCGTAGAAGCCATCACGCGCCGCGCAAGGGTGGGGGCCAAGGGGGAGGACCTTAGGTCCCCCCTTATTGTTATTTAGGGCCCCACCTTCCATGCAGGGGTGGGAGCGCAGGTGTGGGGGCCGGGAGGAGGACCTTAGGTCCCCCCCTTATTGTTATTTAGGGCCCCACCACGCAGAGGTGGGGGCCGGTGGGGGGACATTAGGCCACCCTTATTGTTATTTAGGGCCCCCACCCGCCGCTCAGTGGTGGGGGCCAGGGGGGAGGACATTATGTCCCCCCTTTTTTATTTATGGTCCCCATCCACCGCTCAGGGGTGGGGGCCGGGGGAGAGGACAGTAGGTTCCCTCTCCACATTCTTATTTAAGGCCCCCACCTGTCGCACAGGAGTGGGGCAAAAGGTTTTGTTTTTGTTTTTTTACAGTGAGCAGCCACTGACTACTCACTGTTTACTAGACACGCCCCTACTCGCAGGATAGCGAGTAGGGCCTGAATTTACTAATAATAAGTAATCTTTACTTAGTATTAGTAAATGTGGCTGAAAGACCAATTTAGGTGACCAATTTAGGTCTTTCAGCCTTTTGGTAGATAGCTCCCTAATACCATGGTAACTACTAAGTGGCTGCTTATTTTATGTTATTTTTAAGTGATTTCCCTATCCACATTTGTTTGCAGGGCATTTTACCCCCATTTTACCTTCTTTTACCTTCTTTACCTTCATTTTACCTTCTTTTGCAGCCCTCTAGTCCTTTCCAGGAGTTTTTTAGAGCCATTTTTGTGGCCAAAAGTACGGGTCCCCATTGACTTCAATGGGGTTCAGGTTCGGGGTCAAGTCTGAGCCCGAACCCGGACTTTTTTCAAAGTTCGACCGAACCCGCTGGACCCGAACATCCTGGTGTCCGCTCAACTCTACAGATGGGCATTCTTATCGGCAGCTTGGGAGGAAGTGAGGGCCTACCAAAGAGACAGAAGCCATGCTGGGACAGAGGAGGAGGAAGAAAGGAGGGGGCTGGGCCCCCTAGCTCACAACAGCCTCCAACTGCTAGTGCACCTCTGGGAAGCCACTCTCCCGCAAGAGGCAGGAAACTGGAGGGTGGCTATGAAAGTGTAAAGTTTGATGTGAGTGTGTGTGTGTATTTATGTTTGTCTGTCAGTGTGTGTGTCTGTGTATCTGTATGTCTGTCAGTCTGTGTTTCTATATATGTATGTCTGTCAGTCTTTGTGTCAGTGTGTTTGTGTATCTGTATGTGTGTCAGTGTGTGTGTATCTGTATGTCTGTCAGTGTGTGCATCTGTGTATCAGTGTATGTCTCTGTGTATTTGTATTTTGTGTATCTGTATGTCTTTCAGTGTGTGTATCTGTATGTGTGTCTGTGTGTATATGTGACTGTATCAATATGTATATCTATGTGTGTCAATGTGTGTATCTGTGTGTCTGTTTATTTGTATGTCTGTCAGTGTGTGTATCTGTATGTGTGTCAGAGCGTGTATCTGCATATATATACAGTGGGACCTCGGTTTACGAATTTAATGCGTTCTCCGGGACGTTTCGTATTGCGAAAAATCTGTAAACCGAAACACGGTTTCCCTTTAGGAATGCATTGAAAACCAATTAATTCGTTCCGGAGGTGAGAAAAAAGTCAAATCAAGTATTTTATCTGTTCAAAGCTCTTTATCAAGTGCACTTTAAAGGCATAAATACTGTACAGGGACATGATTAATCAAGCAATAACATTTCAAACATCCAACTTTATGTTTTAAAACATCACACATCAACTTTTAAAACATGGCAGACTGTTGGTAACATGGTACAGTATACTTCAACTGTACATAAGTCACACGTCAACAGGGAAAACATGGAAAATTTCAAAAAATTTCAACACTTTTTGGAAAATGAGGAGGACGAGGGCAATTGGGCAGCAATAACACAAGCAGGTTCTTTTTCATATCTAGGCTGTTTTTGTAGGAACCTATCCATTGTCTGCTGCCTCTGGCGCCTTTTAAGCATCCCTCGGAAAGGGGACATGATGTCTGTGTCAAAACTGCTTACAAGTCTATGGGCTAGAGCCTTATCTGGGTGGTGCTGCTGTACAAAAGTCTGTAGGTTTACCCACATTTGGCATGCCTCCTTGAGTTCCGTGGAAGAGAGCTGTTCCTCACTCATTTCCTCCTCCTCCTCAAATGCGATCTGCTCCTACATCGCCTCCTTCTGCAATTCCACCAGCTCCTCGGTGGTTAGGTCATGGTCGTGTTCCTCCACCAGCTCGTAGACATCCTCCTCAGTCACCTCCAGGACCATGGTCCTCCCCAAGGAAACAATTTCCTTCAACACTGTTGACTCTGGTGCAGGTGCAGAAGCACTGGAGGCAGGTTTCACAACGCAGTCTGGCCACAGGTTGCGCCAAGCAGAATTTAGGTTTGTCTGGCTGACCCCGGCCCAGGCAATGGTGATAATCTGCAGACAGCTCACAATGTCAAAATGCTCTCTCCAAAATTCATGGAGGGTGAGGCTTGAGCGATCTGTAATCTCAAAGCATCGCCGGAAAAGCTCCCTTGTGTAGAGTTTTTTTAAAATTTTAGATGACCTGCTGGTCCATTGGCTGGAGTAGTGGAGTGGTGTTAGGCGGAAGGAACATGACCTTGATGAAATTAAAGTCCTCCAGCAAGTCTTCCTCGAGGCCTGGAGGATGGGCAGGAGCATTGTCCATGAGCAGCATGGCCTTGAGTGGCAGGTTATTGTCCACAAGGTACTTCTTCACAGCAGGACCAAAAACCGCATTGACCCACTTCACAAACAAGAGGCGTGTGACCCAAGCCTTTGGGTTAGACTGCCACAAAACGCTCAACTGCTCCTTGTTCACCTTGTGTTTCTTGAAGGCCCATGGGTTCTCTGAATGGTACACAAGCAGGGGCTTGATCTGTCCCCACTGGCGTTGGCACAGAACAGGAGGGTGAGACGGTCCTTCATCGGCTTGTGGCCAGGCAACGAGGTCTCCTCTTCTGTGATGAAGGTACTGTGACAGATTCATCTGTAGGACTAGTATTGCTGGTTCATCTAGTTTGCCTCCCTTCACGGAATTGCCTGTCCGTATGCCCCTATTCGTCTTTTTGAACTCATACCGAATGAAACTACCAAACGGACGGCCACCCAGAAGAGAAGTGTGCTGCTGGTTAACCTCTCGGCCCCAATTAGAATGTTGTGGTTAACTGCAGACACCTCTTAATTACAACCGAATGCCGGTAGGTCGTCGTTCGTATGCCGATCATGAGGCGGCGGCCATTTTGGAACACGCGAAAGACCAGCGGTGTTCGGCGCAGATTCTATGGAACTAAAAACTGACACTTTTTCTACCGAACACCATTGAATCTACCGACTGCCCTTCTCATTCGTCTAGGCATGCGAACACCGGTCCGTTTATTGTTCGGGAGTTTGGAGAACCCGTACGGATACCGTTCGGGAGATTGGCGCATTCCCCTGGCTTCAGTTCGTGCGGTTGAGGTATACACGAATTGAGCCTGCATTACTAAGGAAGGGGAAGCTTAACTAAACAGCGGTTTCACTCCTCTGTGCCAGGGGTGTCTTAACAGGTACGCTTTGGCATCCTCTTCCAGAAGAGTCCAGTCTCGTTGCAGTTGAAGACCTGCTGAGGAAAGTAGCCCTCTGAAACTATGACCTCCAGGAACTCCGTAGCAAATTCCTCAGCTGCAGCAGCATCGGAACTTGCAGCCTCTCCATGCCTGACCACACTGTGGATGCCAGATCTGGTCTTGAACCTTTTGAACCACTCCCTGCTGGCCTTGAAGCCTTCTGCATCTGCTGACGTTCCTGGCTGTTGTTTGAGGAGGTCAACGTGCAAGGCCTTGGCTTTTTCGCAGATGATCGCCTTGGTCACTGAGTCCCCTGCACGCTGCTTCTGTTCAATCCAGAGCAGGAGCAACTTCTCAACCTCCTCCAGAACAGGTGGCCGTTGCTTGGAGACCCTGGTGACTCCCTTGGCTGCATCTCTCCCACTTATCTTCTCTTTCATTTTTAGGATTGTACCAATTGTGGATGCACTCCTTCCATACTCTTTGGCAAGGTCAGTCAGTCACATTCCTCCTTCATGCTTCCTGATGATTTCTTTCTTGTCCTCAAGCAGAATCATCTCCTTCTTCCTCTTCCCAGCTTTCGCTGCTTTCTTGGGTGCCATGACATCACCGTCACTAAGTATGCAAAAAAAAAAATGCTTTACACCCACATGGCAGTAAAAGGCATGCACAGCACATGAGCTGGCATGGAAACCACAGTAAAAGGCATGCACAGCGGATGAGCTGTAACAGGCATGCACAGCACATGAGCTGGCATGGAAACCACAGTAAAAGCCATGCACAGCACATGAGCTGTAACAGGCATGCACAGCACATGAGCTGGCATGGAAAACAACCCCACATTGCAAAACACACAGTACAGTACTGTAACAGGCATGCACAGCATATGAGCTGTGACAGGCATGCACAGCACATGAGCTGGCATGGAAAGCAACCCCACAATGCAAAACACACAGTAACAGGCATGCACAGCACATGAGCTGGTATGGAAATCACCCCACAATGCAGAACACACAGTAAAAGGCATGCAAACAACTAAGCTCAGCTCCCTACCTTTCCACCTCTTGAGATGCACCAAAAAGGCTACAAAACTTGCTGCAAATGGCTCCACAACTTGCTGCAAATAGCTCCAAAACTTCTCCAACACCTCCACACTCCACACTCATGTGCTACCCAGACTCCAGTATGCAGGGGGTGGAGCTATAAATTGGGACACTTGTTTCGCATTGCAAAAAAAATTCGTAAACCGACGTATTTTTAATTTTTTTACGAATTCTCATTCGTAAACCGAATTTTTCGTTAACCAAGGTTCCACTGTATATATATATATATATATATATATATATATATATATATATATACATATCTTGAGGAAGACCTGAAGAGGTCGAAACGTCGATCAGATGTATGTTACCTGTTATTAAATAATATCAAGTTTTTTTCTACAAAGACCTGAGAGTGCATCTCTTTCCTTTTTGCTTTATATATATACATATATATTTATAAACATATCTATATACATCTATATATGTATATCTGCATGTGTTTCAATGTGCGTATTTGTCTGTGTATCTGTGTGTGGCAGTGTATATGTGTATATGCATTTGTTTCAGCATTCAAACACCAACACTACCCACAAACACACCCTTGGATTCAAATGTCAACGCTACATACAAACACCCCTGCATTCAAACGTCAGCACTACATACAAACACATCTCTGTATTAAAAAAAGTATATATAAATACAATTACATACAATTACATACAATTACACACCAATGCATTCAAAAACCGCACTAGACACAAATGCATTCTTGCATTCAAACACCAACACTACATTCACACAAACATATTTTGTACAAAAACATACTTACATTTAAACACACAAACACTGCTCAGTGCTAAATATAACCCTGCAAGCATGGGAAAATAGTAGATCCCCAGCTGTCAAAGCATTGTAGGAGTTGTATGACAGATGGAGATCTACCAGCTTTGGGCCATCCTTGTGATAGGGGGGCACAAAATTTTTTTGCACCATGGCCTCCCTCTATGTTAGTTCCGCCACTGCTGAGTAAGAAGGATATTATGAATCCTCAGGGGTCATTGTGAGGTGTAATGCATAGACCAATGCCGTACAACATTCTGGTTTTGCCTAATGCTCAATGCCATATTTTACCATATTAACACATTATACAGAAATGCTACACTACCCACATAGTACACATTTTACAGCCACATTGCCCCCTTACATCCGTTGCCAACTCACGTTTGTTGCTAGATTGTCAGTATTCATGCCATTTTATTTCTGCAAAAAATCATGAATAATGTAAGCATATATATATATATATATATATATATTTTAATAATATTAAAAAAACTGCTGATTTTATACTGGAACCTGCTGTTATCTCGTAACTGTATGGTGTTATATTTGCTTCACATGTTTCTAAAATCAACTTTGTATTGAAGGTGTTAAAACCACATAACTGTGTCTAAATCTTGTTAAATCCTTACATGTGTGATTAATCTCTGACGATAGTATTGCTATATTAGACTTTATCAGCCTCCAACTACTTTCATTCTGGGTACTTAATGAGAGTCATATGTTTAACACAGCATCTACAGGTTAGAGGCATGACAAGGGTAAGACATTATCTCTGACAATGGAATATAGAACTGCTAAAGAGTCAAGCCACAGGGCATAGAATTGACTTACATTATTGTATTCAATGACAGTTGTGCATTGGTTTAAGGACATGATACATTTCAGCATACGAATTGCATAAGTATTGCATTTTTTTCTGGATTGCAGATTTATTTTTTTATATCTTGAGTTGACGCATTTAAAGCTTGATCGGTTCATTAATCACCATGTTTAAAAAAAAATTAAGGGTTGTTCAATATTCCATCGAATACTAATCCCATTAATTCCAAGCGAGTTGTTTGTTCTCAGTAAAAACTGTGGTTAGGATACAGCACAGAAAAAATCTCTCAAAAATACATGCAGGCACATATTTCACAAAAAATAGGATCTACGTTACATAAAATGGTCATATGACCTGATATATTCTGTATAACGTTTAGTAATTTAAATACCCGATCTAGGAATGCTTTTAATTTGCTCAAGTCTTTACTTTCTTTACAGACATAGGCCTCGATTAAATAGGCTTCCCAAATGATTCAATACTGCTATAAAATCCTTTCCAAATGATTTATCTGCAAAAATTCTTATAGGATTTAATGGTGACTTCTGTATATTGAATCATTGGAAAAACGTATGCAAAAATATTAAAAGCTTTTCAGATTATTTAATATTTTGGATACATTTTACAATTAGTTTTTCTTTTTTTTTTTTTGCAAATCAATTTTTATTAATATTAGTATTAGAGGAAATAACATTTTATAAGACCAACATGTTCCAACAATTACAATTAAGATTACAATAGGTAACGCAGGGCATAAAGGCGTATTATCATATTAAAAAAACGTACAAAAGCATACACCTTAGGAACAGAAATAGCAAATTATTTTATCTTCATATATATCAGAGAAAATACAGCCCCTCTGCTAATTGTTAAAATTATTTATATAAAAATGTAAAAAAAAAATCATATATAAAATAATATTTCAGTAAATCAAAACATATCAAATCATTTTTATAAATATTAAATCATTTAAAATATTTATTCAAAAATATTAAGCCATTTGAAAAGCTTAGAAAATACATCTATAAGGGTAGGCCTGACAAGTTTTGTCCTGGGAAAAATAATAATGAAGGACTTTTTTTCCAACCCACAGCCCTGCATCATCCAATCTATTTACTTTTTTTAGATTGCTGACAAATATCTCATGAACAAAAGAGTATCTATCAAAACATTAAAGGGACACTATAGTCACACGAACAACTACAGCATATTGAATTTGTTCTGGTGAGTAGAATCATTACCTTCAGACTTTTTGCTGTAAACACTGTCTTTTCAGAGAAAATGTAGTGTTTACATGACAGCCTAGTGATAACTTCACTGGCCACTCCTCAGATGGCTGTTAGAGATCCTTCCTGGGTCATGGCTGCCTAAAATGCATCCAAATATTCAGTATCTCCTCCCTCTGCATGCAGACACTGAACTTTCCTCATAGAGATTCATTGATTCAATTCATCTCTATGATGAGATACTGATTGGCCAGGGCTGTGTTTGAATTGTGCTGGCTCTGCCCCCTCTCTGTCAGTCTCAGCCAATCCTATGGGGAAGCATTGTGATTGGACCAGGCTACCACTTCTGCTGATGTCAGCAGACAGTGGGCAGGTCTAAAGGAAACAGGGACAAAGCCAACAGCTCCAGATTTGAATGCAAGTAAGATTTTACTATTTTTAGGGAGACATGAGGGGACCAGGGTGGCTAGATCTTGGTTTTTGTTTGTGTTCCTGACCCTATAGTGCTTCTTTAAATTCTTCCCTGGCAATTTTGCCATGCATAATAGACAGCCTAGCATATTTAATTACACAGGGGTGAACTGGTAGGTTTTGGCGTATGGGTCAAGTAAACGGGAATGACCATTCAAGTGACAAAATCATACCATTCCACAATCCTTTATACCTTTTTGGAGATCATTGCCACCAAACACAAACAGGTTGCACATTAACATATACAATTCCATGATTCCTTCCTATGATTCCTTCCTCTGTTCTGCAACCTCCATACACACTTACTGAAAAATAGACAACATTGTTTAGCTTTCCTCATTGCACAGTGTGTTTCAAGTTCTTTCCTCTTGCTCTGTTAACTGCCTGCTAGAGCCTGCAGAAGCCTTGTGTGTGATAACAATTTAACTAACAGAGTAGAAGATAAGAACAATACAGAAGAGAAAATAATCATAACCAAAAAAATGAGGGGTATACAATGAATAACTATCATCCAATAATATATTTTAAGTATATATTAAAGCAGAATTTTAATAGCAATATATAACAGTGGAAAAATTAAAATGTCATATGTGTCTTAAAAGGTTGGAATATTTATTAAAAAATACAATCAAAATAATGATATTTTACCATCTGGTGCAGGTCTAATGAAAAAGATATAGGCCATAACAGCCCCTGACTCCCTCTTCCCAGAGTGTTCATTCATGTTTCAGTAAGTCCACAGCAGCAGAAGTTGTCCTATAGGCCAACACACACCTCTTGGCTTCAAAAACATTGCGCAATACCTCAGTCATAGATGAAATGGTATCAGACTTCCAATACCGAGCAAGACCTGAAGTTGACGAAGCCAAGAGATGAGTCAAGATAATTTCTGTAGACTTGGATAAATTGTCTGGAAGCTTCTTCAGGAGACACAATTCTGGTGTACTAGTATAGACCTGATCTGTAATGGTGTGCATTAGTGTATGAATGTTAGTCCAGTAGGTGTTCAGCTTAGGACAAGACCAAAACATGTGGAA